ATTTTGAACTTTTTAAACAGTAAAAACTTTAAACAGAATTTTTTGTAACAATGTAAAATTTTGTATTATTTAAAAAATATTGCCATATTATATATAATTTATAAAATATAGTGATCTAATATAAAATATATTTACATTGAAAATGTTATTTACATATAAGATTTCTATTAAAGGTTCGATTAAATTAATAGTTAGCTACTTTCATGTGACAAACTTTTACAATGTTTAAAAAAAAAAATCTGTTACACGAAAGTATCGGATTTAGGGCTGCCACTAACGACTATTTTGATTTTGATTAATCTACCGACTAATTTATCGATTAATCGAAAACGATTAATTTCCCGCAAAAAAACAAAACAAAACAACTATTTTACTTAAGAATATTTTATTAAAATATATTTTATTAAACCAAATGAAATCCAAATTTCTATGAAATTCTTTTTTTAAAGCAAAAGTAAAGTGCAACATAGAGTGCAAGAAGCAAGTGTCCATCTCATAATCCAAATCACTGAAATCAAAGTTCAGTATTAGTGTAAGAATGACAACATATCCACGTGTTCTAGTCTACTACTAATACAATTATAATCAAAAAACACTTTTTATAGGAGTATTTACCAGAAATGTTACTTACCAGAATTTATTTAGGAGAAAAATGTAAATGTGCAGTATTTCTGAAAAAAAAAAACTTAAAAAATAAAATAAAATCAATTAATTGGAGATGCTTTTGATTATTAAAATTTAATGGAACCATTAAAATGGAATCCAGAAAATAATGGAAAACCAAATTTGGTAAAAATAAAACTGTAAAACTCAATTAATTAGACAGGCTTTTTGATTAATACATTTAATTTAACCATTAAAACAGAGTATAGAAAAATGAGAATGGAAAAAAAATGAATTTGGAAATAAATCTGATTTCATAGGGCCCTATAATTATAATAATTTTTTTTAGGACAGAAATGCTATAGCCACTGTAAGTAAAAGAATATGTGGACATCAAAACGTGTATATAAATGTTATATAATGTTATTAAAACGTGTTATGATTTACCTTACAAATCTGATGAAATGGCGCATGTTGCGTTCCCAGATGAACGTTATAATAAACCCAAACTCACAACAACATGCAGAGATGGAGTTTGAGACGCTCCACACATGTAAATGATAACAGTTACTGTGAAACTACTGTGAACGGAGCCGCTGTGTGACGCACGTACTTAACCTACACGCATGTAAATAATGTAAGCGCATATACTGTATTAGAACTGCATCGCATATAATTATTTAATTAAATCGTAGCATTTGTGAATTCACAATTATGCTTAATTATGATTTTTAAATGGGTTTAATATATCATGCAGCCTTGGGAAACAGTCTAATGTGTTTTATGGATTCTCGTCCGTGAAATGCGCCACTTCTTGTATTTTGCCGGTTAGCCGACACGAGCAAAATGAAGTCGAGGATTTTAAAAAATTGAATAGTCGAATAAAATCGACGAATCGCGACAGCCCTAATCGGATTCTTCAAATTTTTATAAAAATTTGTAGCAGAGTTTATACTGTCACTTTTGGTCAATTTAATGAATCCTTGCTGAAGTATTAATTTCTTACTGTAAAAATCTCTCTCTCTCTCGCTCTACACACACACACACACACACACACACACACAAATATAATTATACTCCCACTTTTATTTAAATCAAGGTTTCCCAAACTGGGGTTCATGAAGAAATTGCAGGGGTTTTCTGAGTTTAATGAAAAGTAATAATAATAATAATACTTTAATAATAATAATTAATTAAATCAGAAAAAGTGAAATTAAAATAAATCATTTTAAAATAAGTCATAATTCAAATAAAATGTATATGTTCATCAGTAGGTGATGCAATATTGAAATGTAGAGAAAGCATTTAAAATAGAAAAAAACCTAAGATTTTTGTAAATCCATTGGTCAAATGATGATGATGATGATTATTATTATTATTATTATTTATTGCCTGACTAGTAAGTGGTCTTTGTGTGAATGTCCACAAAGGATTGAAGACTAAAATGTGGTATTCTATTTTAAAAATGAAAATTTAAAAGATGAAAAATAAGAATGAGGGAGAATAAATAAATTCTCAATTATTTATTGCTATTGTTCAAATAATAAGTAATAATGCAATCAATAAAAAAGTAACTGTAGCCTGATTACGAGTATTTTGAAATGTAATATAACCTAATTATAAGTATGGAATCCAGATTACATGTAATCAGTTACTACGCAGCACTTTGTACAATATGCTAATACAATCATGTATTCAAAGTCATTTGAGGTTCAGTGTGAAATAAAAATCGGTCCCAAAAACCGGTCCTTTAAGACCTCACTGGTTCTTGGCGAATTCTTATACAATAGCATACTTGACTCAGCACTATGATGACAAATGTTATGGAGCTCGTGTGCTACACTATCATTAGCTACACCAGTAATTTTCCACAGTTCCATTTGTATTCAATTGGCCCTCGCTCGTTCTCCCCAGGGCTGCCTTAATCTCTGTATAATATAACATAGTATAGCTCTATCTCACTCGCAATTATGCATCCCTAGTTACAGCCTGCTTTGTGACTAAAACAATTACTTACTACTTACTAGTTGTTTTTGCTAAGGCAAGCATTAATATTATTACTGCTCAAATTTAGGGTTAGGCAGTCTTGTTCAAATCCTTAAGTACCTGCACCATTTATGCTACTTAAAATCAAATAGATTTACACCGAAGGAGGACCTGAGTCATATGTAGAGACCAGAATATCATAGACTTGGGCGTGGGCTACACACACACACACACACACACACACACACACACACAAATAAAATTCCCCAGTGCACCTTAGTAGGAAAAGCACCAGCGAGACCCTAGCATTCACTAGCATT